TGCAAGCCTGACGCAAGTGGCCGTCTTCTCCGCATCGGTGACAGGATTTCGACCTGTCCGTCCCTTGGTAGTCGCGCGCCAGATGTCCGAACGCCCAAGTGGTGTGTGTGTGTGTGTGTATGAGATTGTTTGTGTGTGTGTGTGTGTGGAATAATAAAATTGAATGTAAATAATTACAGACTTTCATCCTTCTGAAGTTGGGATTTATGCTTATATGCTAGCTTAGTGTGACACCTCCACCATAAATTTTGATGTCCAAAGGGTTTATTTGAGATTTGGAAGTTTTATAGTAATAAATATTATAAAAGCTCGCCTTGACCATTTTAGGGCCTTGAAGTTGCATGAAAAAACTTTTGATTTAAGTTTTGTTTTATTACAAAATTAGGTTTCTTTATCATCAATCTAACGAGTTTAGTCTTAACTATTCACGTAACTGCTAGTAAGGATGTACAATAAGTAAAGCGTAGAAGTATGGAAAATTGCCTTTTCTTATTTTTACAATTAGCAACAAATTACTTTTAGCAATAGGAATAATTGAAGGGAAGTAACAAAGCCCTATGTTAATTTACTCTAGTTTGTGCCCTATTTTCTAAAAATATATTAAAGAAGATTCTGAAATTTTGTCAGATGCACTATTGCTGTATTGTGCATCTCATGAACTACAATTACATACGATTTGTACCATTGTTTTTTCTTTTTATAAAATCTTTTTTGTAAGCAAATCCTTTTGAACATTTTTTCTTATCAAATCATTTTTGTAGTTCAAAAAGTATTAACTATATTTCAGAAGTTGTCTTATTATGGGAATGTACACCAAAAATGTTAACAATGTAGCACAAACCGTTTTTGAAATTTTTGGAAAAATGTAGCAAAAAATGTAGTTTTGCACAAAAGGACTTTAAAGTTAGTTACAAAAACTCGTATTTAACAACATGATTTAGTATAATCCTGAGCCACACTCAGGATTATTTTCCTTTTCTTCCAAATTTCGCTCTCTTCTCAGTGAACCTATGATTAGAAATTTCCAACTCGCTGCGCATTTCGAATTCTGTCATTCATGTCTTGCAAGTCTTCCACTGTATTGACTCCTAGTGCAATACCTAATTGTTGTAGAATTTTAATTCTTTCATAATTTCCATCATTGAATGATATTACTGCATTACAAACTCCCAATTTCAATGTTTTATCCCCACAATTACATTTTTAGAAAGCCTTGTCCAAATTTAATTGTTAAAGAACTTTCGAAATAAACACTTTCGAAAGAAACTAATGCCGTCCAAACAGACCTGGCAGTGGATTCAACATCAAGATTGGAATGCCTTTACGCGTGTTTGAAAACCACAGTCTTCTAAATTGGTTAGTTTCTGAGTTATGATATTTTGAATAAACAGTGAGTGACAGCTGTGAGCCTGTGACAGCTGCATACCTAACAACAATGACATAAAAACACACTAACAATGTGATTTCGACTATGCAGAATACATCATTTTATTATGAAAACGTTGAAGTTTTTACTGAGTTTAAAAAATTAAAATGTGAAAATTTTCAGATTTTTGCTTTGTTACTATCCCTTGTACTTTTGTTTTCATAGATTTTCATTTTGCCCTTTTTAGTCTACCTATTTTTGATAATGTGCCTTGTTGCATTGTTCTCCATCAAGCAAGAAACGCCTGTAAGCGTGGACAATACGAAGGTACAGTCGTGATTTGTCTTAGGGGAAGCAGAGAGGTCAGATAGTCACGTCATTATGTGTTGAAAATAACTGTGCTAAAACATTTTGGAGTGTAGTTTTGATTTTTTGCTCCTTTGTTTTTGCACTGCTGAATACGAATCTGAATGTTTGTCAAAAAATATTTCCATTGTAATTTGAATTATAACAATTTTGTGCCTGTATTTAAAACAGTATTAAAAGTAGGCAAAAATTACTCTTTACCAAAATATTCTACATTAAATTTCCTGCAACGTAGTTCCGTACAAATGTTTTCGTTACGCGCACCGTTTAGGCGTAATTAATAAATTTTGACAAATTTTGTGCAACTGACCATTAACTCGGCTACGTGATGAAACGGGTAACCAGAAACCTGTGTCTGTGTTCAGTATAACTATCTACCTTGCAAATAATTTAATATCTTGGTTAATGGTATTTTTCATACTATACAGAACTCTTGGGAAAAATAGATTGATCGGCAGTCGACGCCATCAAAACAGTCGTTGAAAAGGCCAGAGAAACCAAAGAGGGAGCAAAAAGAGAATTGTGTGATCTCGTAACGCTCGATATCAGGAACGCCTCTAACCCGGCCAAATGGGAGGAGATTATCAAGGCTCTGATAGAGAACAATACCCCGGAGTGATAAGGAGCTACCTAAGCGGTCGATAGACCATTTGCGAAGGCAAAGGAGAACCTATTGAAATCGAAATTACCTGTGGTGTCCCTCAAGGTTCGAAACTTGGTCCTGTCTTACGAAATATTATGTACGACACTCTACTGGGCATAAAACTCCCGCAAAATGTCTCAATAGTGAGCTTTGCAGACGATGCAATAATAGTGGCAACGGCGGAAACAACGGCCCTACTAGAAGTCATCATGAACGACACCCTGAGAAGAGTGATGGCTGACGTCCAAAGGCAGCCCATAAAACGGAAGCATTACTCATCATGGACAGACGATCCTACCTCAACCAAACATTCCTTAGAGGTAAGGAAAAATACAATGTCGCAAGAGCCTTCGCTACCTAGGAATGGAAATTGGCTGGAAGCTAAGTTTTGGACCACACTTTACGGAGACGACGGAAAAAAGCACTGGGAATAGCAGCATCGTTTTCAAGATTGATGCCGAACACCAGGGACTCAGCGACAAGAAGAGACGATTTTTTACGAGTGTGATGTACTCGAAAATGCTCTGTGCCACTCTGATCTGGGCAGAATCACTTCAAAACAATAATTTGAGAAGGAAAATGTAGACTGTCCAGAGCTCTGCGCATAACATTGCTGTATATAACTGTATCCGGAAGAGCTGTTCTGCTGGCGAACGTCCCTCCTATTGATCTGTTTGCTCTAGAAAGGAAAGAAGTTTACGACTATTCCCATGAGCAAGAAGGCAACGGACGGCGAACGCACCAAGAAAGGGATAGAACAATTAAGAAAGCTAAAGAAAACTTGATGCACCGCTGACAAATGGGACAGAGAGACCAGCCGATGGAGTCGTATACTCATCCCGAATATATCCAAATGGATAAGCCGCAAACACGGCAACAAAAATGATCTGTAACAAGGAGAAGTGGGCAGCAATAGAGAAATCACCCCCTTCTCAAGAAGAAGGAAGAAGACGAAAGAAACCACACTTGAACCTGAATAGTACCTCGAAGTAATACAGCTGACATCATCCTGAAGTAATGCATAATTGCGGTTCCAGGGTGAATAACGCCAGGAACAAAGAGTTTGTGGTTTTAGTAGGTAAAAATTTCACACTGTTGAGTACGGGTTTCGTCTTGATGATTTCCACAGTTCCCCTCGTGAAAAGATAAACAAATAAATAAAAAGGAATGGGAAAAAGAAAGTAGTCGACGCTGATTACTTACTTGCAAACACCGCTCTACCCTTAGTCGTAGTTTTCGTGTGTGCTATTCTAAATGAAATTGTGGCAGACTTTACAAATTTTGTTTTTAGGATGCTGATTAAGAATCTGATGTTTGCCTCTAAAACGTTTCGTTGGAATTTGTGGTGGTCATAAAACATGAAAAAATGTTTGAAAGGTAAATTAATACCCTAAAAATTTCAACTTGGAAAAAATCATTCTATATTAAATATAATTAATTAATTATAATTAAATGTAAATCTCAAAATTACCTACAAATTATATTAGTTACTACATAAGACATCTCTCTATACATATCTCTATATAAAAGCGGTAAACTCCGACACTGTGTGACCGATCTACATGAAGTAGACACGTCTACGCGTGTATTTATTCAGAAAGT